ATCAATTAAGTACTAATATTTTCCATCATAATCTACTTATATTATAAAATTTAACAAGTCATATATTTTTCTTTATTTTATAAGCCATGATTACAGTATCTTTTTCTTAGATTGCGTACAGCACTATGAGGATATGAATGGTGAATCAATGACAAAACAACCATGATAATTGGATCTACTTTAATATTGTATATCACATGGAAATGCAAACAATTTAAGGAGCAGATATAGTAACTTATAGAAGTGAAATAGTAACTTATCCTTTCTGAGAGACTAATCAAATGTTAATAAATAACGTTATAGTGTGTTTGGATTAATGGGAATTTAGATTTGTGCCAAATCCCTTAATTGGATACACAAGAATCTGGAATCATTTATAATCAAATCCGAATTCATTTCTTATTATAATTCTATTGCAATTTCAAATTTCTTTTACACTTTAGTTGTTTTTCAAACAGTTCTTATTCTCTTTGTGTATTTATTATTGATGCATATATGATTATTGTATTTTTTTTTATCATCTCTCATTCTCATTTTTTATTTATTGAAAAATAAAAATAAATTTAAAGCTTTTAACTTTTTATTTCGTTTTGAGTCCCAACTCATCTCTTTTCTTTATTTGAATTTTTTTAAACTATCCAAATAAATAATTTTAAATATATAAATTTAAAATGTGAAATTTTAAATCTAAAATCTGAATCTAAATCCACCAATCCAAATTAATAAACACTATCTTATGTTATTTGTTATCAACAAGGATCCAAGCTATAGCAGCCGTTGGGGGAAGATTAGATTGGTTTAATGTCTTGAATCGAATGATTAGTCCTGATAATAACAATTGACATTTGAGCATGGGAAAAAAAAGGACAAGACCCTTTTCTTATCCCCTTAAAAGTTAAAAACGATGAGAGCATTATCTATCATTGCATTTTTTATGATTTTAAAATATAACTGTGTGAATATAATCACGTCAGATTGATTATTGGAGTTGTGGCATTCACAATCCAATGCAAAAGAATATCTCTAGAAAGCGCTTAATAAATAATATTAAGTAATAATAAAGCATGACAATATCCAAATTGTAATTTGGCAACAAACCAGTGAGATTGGAGTTTCTAGAATTCCAGCTTCAATTACCCATAAATAAGATAGTCTGGATTGTCCTAATTTACATAAACAAAATTATGAATGTTAGCATGATCTGCAAAAACAAAAAAAAACAAAAAACAAAAAGAAAGACGCTTCTACAAAAAATTTTAAAATATTTTTTACCTGAATAATATATAATAAGATTTATAATTAAAAAAATACCATACTTTTCTCAAGTCCATACACTTATTTCTCAGATAGTACAAGGGGGAACATAGTTTAAAACAATTCATAGAACACAAAAAACATATCTAAGAATTTAAGGGCGTTTGTTTTGTATTTTTAAAAATAAAAAAAAGGTTTGGTTAAGTGTTTTGAATTTAAATATTTTCAACCCTGTGTTTTTATTTGTTGTTTTCAAAAATGGAAACAATTTAGAGTTTCTTATTTTTTATTTTTAAAATACATTACATTTGACCATTATAAATTACCTCTAGGTATGATCAACCATTATCATAGACCATCATCATTAATCACAGTTAACTACCGCTATCAATCTTTTTTTAACTCTGAATTTTTTTTCAAATTAACATAATCAAATAGATTTTAATTTTGGTTGGTTTTAAAAAATAATTTTTAAAACAAAGAATGAGAACAAAACCAAACAAGCTCTATATAGAGCAATCCCAATTTTTTCTTTTTCCTTTGAGTCTAAAAAGTTCAAGTGAGTTGGGTACCATGGTCAAGATATGTTTTCAGGTTTAGAACATTTATAAAGATACTTGTAAATCATTCATTAATAAAATCCTCACATTGTTAATGAGATTTCAACATGTGAACTTGTGGGGGTATGGGCTACATTATCTTATCATTATATCCCAATTGCTTCAATGCAAGAAGTGCTGACACCCAATCTCAACGTTCGAAATGGGCCTTTGGACCCGTAACACGTTATGTGCGATCCAGCCCACCACTTGCCTTTGCTCAACGACGATATGATATGAAAGAAAAGTTATAAATTTGAACTAATTTTAAAGCGTCGATATGTCCGAGTGGTTAAGGAGACAGACTCGAAATCTGTTGGGCTTTGCCTGCGCAGGTTCGAATCCTGCTGTCGACGCATTTTGAGCCGTCCGATTTTTGAAATTTTTGCTCCTTCCAGTGGCCACAAACGCAAAAGGCCCTCTACGTGGGCCCGTTTTGACAGAAGTGTGCCTGGTTGACAAGTGCACCAGAGGCTCTTAACAGCGCAAGAGTCACTAGTTCCTCACGCAAATGTTTATAATTCACTATTGAAGCCACAGTCTTTGTGAAAATTTGTACGGCATAAAATTTAAGCATTGTTTAATTAAAAATAAGTGTTATAAGTGAGTTGTAAGTATTCTCATCATTTATACAAATTATTAAAGAAAGAAATGAAGGCTAGTATGAATAAGATCATCAATATTTATTATAATTTCACTATCATTTCATAACTTTTTTTTTTTTGGATCGTTCCCACTTCTCCATTAATTCATAGCCTTATTTTTATATATCTAATTTTATCAACTCATTTCATTTTTTTTTCTAACAATTGGATGAACAATCCATTAAAAATAATATATTATTTATATTTATTATTCACTTAGACTCGCCCCTTATTTTGTTATTTTATAGTGTTTATCTCTCATGCTAATATTCCTTCAGTTTCCTAAAGCATATTCAACTATTTCATTAGAATCAAGGGAAGTTAGTTAACTTATTAATTTTACCTAAAAATATAATAAATTTTTAATTTTACCACTATTTAAATGTATATTAAAAAATAAAATTATATAAAAACACTAAAATAAAGTATTTTTTTTCTTACCGAGAAAAGTAAGTTACATACAATTATGGATAGTTTGAGAGCAGTGTCCCAATATCTTTTTGCAGCATAGCAACCAAAAAGGCAAACTACAAGTTGCAAGAATTACAAGGACATATGATAAGTGTTGAGTGTAGGGACATGAATCAATGCTTGAGTCGTGCCCGGAAGGACACAGTCCTTAATAACTATTCTGGCACACCAGGACAATGAATCGACAGTTTTTCATAATTAAACAAGTACTTCTTGCAGAGCAAGGAACTAGAACAGTATAGCTAAAATGAGGTCAGACGAATAACATAGCAAAAGCTAGAGGGAGGAGAGAATTGCCCTAAAAGCTCAAGATTTATTTGTTTGTACCCATGGCTATATATAGCCCAAAGATGGAGACATGAACGTTGGCTCATAATCATCGAATTAAGACTTCGATTACACACATATAAAACACCATTAATCTAGAGACATTGGCAGACAAATACGTTTAAGACATTAACTTACAAAATTAGTTTTCAGAAATAGTTTAATGCTTAAACAACTGCCAAAGCTTCAAATTCAAATTTAAACAGCAAAATTTGAGGTTTTTTGGGTAAGCTAAAAATAATTACTTATTTAATTGTTTTGTAATAAATGATTCGGTAAAAAAAATCCAATGCCTCTTAAACTTGCACATAGGAGACAAATTAATTGATTTCAATTACGATTATCCTGAGTTAGTTTGTCTCATATACATGAGCCCACTTCTCCTCTAAACTCATTTTATCAGTCCACTTCATTTCTTAATATTTATACACTAGGAGAGTTCTTCATTTAAGTAATGTAGAACTTTTGACACACACAGGTACTTTTGATACACACACAATAATAAGTTTCGGACAAAAATAAGAAGAGGCAAGGCTAAGGGGAGAGATATCTAGTGAAGAGGGTAAATTGAATAGACTCCTAATCTTTTTCCAGCCTCCCATGGCACAGTAGCTGATCATTGAGAACAACGTGCAAACGTGGTATCTTATATTTCTTGCATTTAATAATGGAACGAAAAAGTGTCCAAGAAGCATGCAATATTGCTAGCTTCAAAATTCCAAGACTCGAATGCCCTTGGGTCAAAGTATTTTGTTGCCCAGCTTTCAGAGCTGGGGGACCATTGAAGGTGATTACAAATTTACAATGAACAAAATGGGAATAGTTCCTTTGTGCCATTGAAATTATTTCCATGGGTGTTGCAGCCTTATTTTGACCACATTTTTATTTCGACATGCCCAAAGAGCTTCCATGAAAAAAAAAAAAAGGGAAAGGAAATGAAGAATTATAACGATAGCTGACCACTGTGCTATGAGAACTTCAAAATCTATTCGCAAATCCAGTTATCTATAGATAGACTATTAGCTACAATTGTTCTCAAATTCAAATGTGATCCAAACCAAATTGTTCTTGAAAATGGACAAAAAAAGAAATAAATGATCATAAGATTCATCTGGAGAACTACAAAAAAACAAAGTTCAGAGACATAAGATGATGAAGACGCAGACAGTGGTCGGCAAAGAATGCCGAATGATTTTCCAAATAAGCAACTTAGGGGGTAATTTCATTTTTCAAAGAATTTCCCAAACGAAACCATGCAGGACAGTTATTTTAAATTAACAAATTATAACATTTCTTAACCATATATGTATATAAGCTTGGAAGCTAAGTGTTATGTCCTGCATCTTTGGGACTTGTGAAAGGTTTTAGTTTCAAGTTTTTTGAGGACACAACAATAAACTTATAATAAAATGATATCAAAATTAGATTTATGTTTATCTAATCATTGAGTTCTTTTGGTGGGTTATTTCTTTGACTAAAGAAGTAGTTAATTTTTGGGAGAGAGTAATGATCCCAATGTCATTAAGTTTGTATAGATTTTAATTTTTGAAAATGATTGTATTTGTAATGTAATTCTTAATAATTTCTAATTACCTATGCAGGATGTAATTTTTGTTCTTTTTTTAATTATTTTCTTTCTTTTCCTTTTCCTTTTGTTTTTGTTTTTTGATGGACTGGAAAACCCTTCTGCTTCAACCGCCTAGAACAGTGGTGACCAGAACATCCTAATCCCCCTCTCATCACTTTCTCGTGTTTCTCCTCAAAGCTCATCTTACTTCATGGACAGGGAATACCCAGCCTCTTCTTCTTCTTCTTCATCACCATCGTCATCGTCATCGTCATCGTCATCAACAACGGCAATGACCAGCAACAATCTCCCACCACCCGAAGATGCTTGGCTTGATACCTGCCACAAGTGGCTGCCTCGTTGGGAATCTCATTCACTTTCTCATCAGGTCCTTCTCTCTAATCCGCCCTAACATAGCGTCACTTCCTCAATTGTATTCAATCCCGCAATTTTCCCCTTATTTTGTGATTTAGGGTTTCAGTTTCATGCTTTTGATGTTACTTAATGTTCATAACTATGCCTTCCTTGCTAATTGGTGATTTTTGTTTAGTACTGTTCCTCTTTTGGCACGTAACATACGATTTCTTTGATGTTTTTTTGTGCCACTACCCTTCTGCCAAATTCGTTTGAATGAGGACTGTGGAGGAATGCTTATCTTAAAGTTTTTTGTCTTGCTGACGAATTCACTCTCATCAATGGAAGCCCAGTGATTTTTTGATGTAAAAATTGATTTGCATGCCTGAGCCCGCTATTGCCTGATCCCTGATGGTTACTTTTCCGTGTGATATAATTTCCTTGCATTCTAAATTCCCAGTAGTAGAATGAATACGCGTTCGTGTCCCCGCCCACGGTTGATTAGTTTTGTTGAACTCCCTGCAGTCAACAATTCCTATTTCTATATCAAGAGTTAACCAAGTTGATGCTGCTAGACTGGATGTTGAAATGTCAGCCATGTTGAAGGAACAGTTGGTTAAAGTGTTTTCTTTAATGAAGGTACAGTGTTGTCTTGCTTTCATATTTTTATGAAATGAATTATAATAGTAGTTTTGGAACTTCTCTGAACATCTTTTAAATTCTTGTTGTTTTTGGATTTAGCCAGGAATGTTATTTCAGTACGAAGCTGAGCTTGATGCTTTCCTTGAGTTTCTTATTTGGAGATTCTCAATTTGGGTTGATAAGCCAACTCCAGGTATTGCTCTCATGAACCTGAGGTATAGAGATGAGCGTGCAGTTGAACCAAGAGAAAAAGGTAAGAAGGTCTGAATATCATCTATTGGAATATGTGATATGTTTGAGTTAAAATGTGAGAGTTAGCTTTCTGTCAGTTGTACAAGGCTATTGTTAGTCTTGCCAGCTCTATGAATGATTGTGTCCTTTAGATAGTGTCAATGCCGATTTTCTCTTAAATATCATTTTGTAAGATGTGCCAATTCAGGCTGATTCAAAGTGTCTTTCGAGCCATTTCTGTCTGCTCACGTGATGCATCGATAGAAGTTTTAAATATGATCATTTAAAGAGACTTTTCCTTGCCTTAAAACAACCAATAACTGGAGCGAGGAATATCCACTCTGATTTCCTGTGACGAGTAACCACTGCATATATTCTTTCATTAGGGTGCACTCATTTTAGTGTCATGTTGACCTGTACAAACTTATAATACTGTTACTTGCATGGTGACTCCCACAGTCAGAACTGGTCTTGAAGGTCCTGGATTGACTGTTGCTCAAAAGATTTGGTATTGTATCGCAACTGTTGGTGGTCAGTATATCTGGGCTCGCATACAATCCTTTTCTGCTTTTCGTCGGTGGGGTGATTCTGATCAGGTAATTTCTTGGCTATTTTGGGCCCCAAACTGACAGCTGCTGACCTTCTCTCCAGATGGAGGTGGATGGGAATGACTTCTCATCTGGTTTTTATTTCATTTAGAGGTCACTGGCTCGTCGGGTATGGATCCTTATACAACGTATAGAAGGAATTTATAAAGCTGCTTCATTTGGCAACTTGTTGATATTTCTTTATACTGGAAGGTATTTCTTTTCAAGACTCAGATGATTAACCAAACGCTATTTTTCTTATTCATCTATTTTCAATTATTTTCTACTCTAATTGAGTGATTGGTCATTGGTTTTATTTGGTTTTGAGTGTTTTTAAAAGTCCTTTAGGATGGGTGTATCTCATGATAAACTGCACCATCTACTAATCTTCCTTATGATTGTGCTGATGTAAAGCAGATATAGAAATCTCATTGAAAGGGCTTTACGAGCTAGGCTTGTCTATGGGAGCCCAAATATGAACCGTGCTGTTAGCTTTGAATATATGAACCGGCAGTTAGTTTGGAATGAATTCTCGGTAATTCTTCCTCACCAACGAATTTAGTCTCTTCGTTTACTTGACAGTGCTATTGACCTAGATTTTTTTGTTCCAGTGTTTTTTGTATTGAAATCGATCTGCATTGTGTCCATTGTTTGCTTATAATGCTGGGGAACTTGTTTTTGCCGCCGATTATGTTTCAATTGAAATGAGATTTGGACCTTGGCTTGTTTTCACTCCTGCACTTGCATACTATTTTTACTTATTTTTCTAGTTTATGTGAATATGCAAGTGTCTTTTCCCCTCATTTGCCGCATTGGAGCTCATATCTTGTTCTGCTGGCAGGAAATGTTGCTGCTGCTTCTTCCCCTTCTTAATTCATCATCTATGAGAAATCTCCTTCGACCATTTTCGAAGGATAAATCCTCAAATTCAGATCAAGATGACAATGTGTGCCCCATTTGTCGATCTACTCCAACTATTCCTTTTGTTGCTCTTCCCTGTCACCACAGGTGCATTTCTAGACGTACAATTTCTCTTCACTTTCATTTTGATTATAAGTTATGGTGATGGAACATGGAATTTCTATCTATGAAAGTATCCTTTTGTGTGTATTCTTTAAATTAAAAAAAAAACATGGTCATTGAAGGATCAAATTTTCTCTGGACACAGATATTGTTACTACTGTCTTCGAACACGCTGTGCTGCTTCTCCATCATTTAGATGTTCCAGGTGTAGTGAGCCAGTCGCTGCTATGCAGCGGCATAATGGCGGTATCACCAGTGGATAACGGGAGAATTACAATTAAGTCCTAAATAAGGAAATTAATTATTTTTTCAGCTAATTTACAAGTCAAACTTCAATATTTACTAGTAGACGGGACTTGTAAGTTATTGGTTTTCTTATCTGGGAACTATTTGTAATTCTCCCATGGATAATTCATGCAAAGGGAGAATAACGGAAAAGTGTTGGAAAGCATTTGATCAACATACAGAATTAGCGAGATATTAAATACTACCAAGAATTAGGGCGGTATTTTTTTCCCCTTTTGTTTTGATTCTCTCTTAATATTTTACATAGATTTTTTTTAAAAAAATTGATATTCCATTATAGTTGAGTTATAGCATCTCTTCCTCCAATGAGTGATGTATTTATTTTGTAGCAATTTCTAGTGTTTCCACGCCTTCCTTTGTTTTCTTCTTCTTTTGTTTCATGTATTTTAGCAAATCTAGCCGTTGTCATTCATTTACAATGCCTTGGTCTTATATTGTGTTGTGACAATGTTGATTATCCCGCGTGGGTTAATATATTGTGGTCACTTGAATCTGAATTATACAATTTTAAAAACCTGGGTTTTTTTTTTTGGTTGCTTATGAGTTATGATGATTGCGGACAATAATAGGTGCAGGACTGCAGGCCGTGTTAGGATTTAACAATGAATTAAAATATATACTTCTTTAATCTCATATATAAGACATTTTTAACATGTTTCATCATAACCAACAAAAACTTTAAAACTCAATAACGTTGTTTAAAAATTTAATAATTTTTTTAACTTTTTCTTTATTAAATATACATATTTTGACAATGTATTTCTCTCCAACATTTAATGGAAGTTAAATGAAAAAATTTACAATGAAAATTTAATGAAGTGATTTATAAATATGATAAAAAATTTTTCTATCTTTGCCTTATAAATAAGATTAAAGAGAGTATATATACTATAAAAATTTAATAAATTTTGGGGGATTAGAAGTGTGTGACATGTATATAATACTATGAAAAATTTCATAATTTAAGATGTTGTGACCCTTGTTGGTCCTTCCTTTTTTAGCCCATAGGTGGCAAAGATGAAAAACAGGTGGGCTCAACTTTATGAGCCCAACTTTTAAGGGTCTAAGCCTTTAAGGTTTGGTTTCTCATTTTTATCTTTTTTGTTTTAAGATTTAGCCCTTATTTAAAGGGCTTAAGGTCAGGCTCATGAGCCCTGTTTTGAAAAAAAATAGAAATAAAATTAAGCATTATAAATTATTTAAAATATTTTAAAATTAAAAAAATTCTCATAATCTTTTAGAAACTAAACAACACATATTTAAAAGTCTAGTAAAAAAATTTAAATCTTAATTAAAAAAGATTTATTTTGTATAAATATACAAATATAATAATTATAAAAAAATAAAAAATATTAAAAAATTTATACTGTACATTAATATTTATTAAATTATATTAAATTAATTTTAAAATAAATTAAAATTAATAATAATATAATGCAGTTCTTTGGCTTTAAATGTATGTTTCACTAAAAAAAAATTAATAATAATATAACAGAGCTTGAAGGGTCGTTTGAATTTGAGCTCTTTTTTACATGACTTATCAAAATCAAATCCTCAAGTTTAGTTACTTTAAAAAAATTTAATTTTTAATATCTAAATCTTTATTTAAACAGGATTTTTAAGTCTGATTTTTCAAACTCAACTTTTATTTCCTGTTAATAGGTGGTGATTTGAGTTTACTCGATGTTGATTTTTACCCTTGTTCTTTGGGCCAAATTTTCATCCAATAATGTTAGCTGAGGTCAGAAAAATGAAAATGATATTTGAGAGCACAATTGACTTCAAAGTTAAAAGCCGAATCATATCACCTCTTGTTAAGTGCTAATTCATGTTAACTTCTATTGTTATATACATATATTTATTAATTTTTAAAGACTTAATTCATTTCGTAGTGAGAGACCATATGTATAATTCAGTATATGGTTATAAATATTTTTAAAAAAATGACAATAAATGATAATTTGGTCTCTCAAAATGTCATTGTTCCTTTAAAGTTTTTAGAGATTTTTTTGTTATTAATGAATTTATATAAATTATCAAATTACCCTTGTTAAAAATAAATAATTTAAAATTTTTATTTAAATATTCATAATTTTTCTTCTTACATTGCAACAATGCAATAGTAAATAAAGAATTAACATGCAAAATTATAATTTGATGTTGCATTATTGCATATATAAGAAAAAAGTTGTAAATATTTAAACAAAAATTGTGAATCATTTATTTTAATAAGGATAATTTGATAATTTATATAAATTTATTAATGACAGAAAAATTTTTAGGCACTTCATGAAAGTTATTACATTTTGATGGATCAAATTGTCATTTATACATTTTAGAAGGATTTTATTATCATTTTTAAAAAAATTTAAAAAATAAAAAGATCCATATTATTATATTTCCGTCATTTTTAATCTGTAAGGTATCTAAAAATATTTTTAAATATGATTGTGGTCTACTTTTAAATTTTAAGATCCATAATTTTTTTAAAAAAAATTGACTCCTATATTTTTCAAATGTTTAGAAAGGTATATTGTATATTTTTTATGATAACAATAATAGCTAATTTTAACATGAAAATTGAAATTGATTTAAAAATAAAAAAATATTTAACTATTTTAAGCACGTTTCAATTTCAATAAACTTGAAAATTCAAATTGTTAGAGCTAGATTCGATTATATAATTTTTTTTTTTTTACTTGTTTTAACTTGTTCATGTCGGCCTTCAAATTTCTAGTTCCTTCATTGGAACTGTATGCCCTATTATTCACTCCATGCGTGGAAAGAAAGTACTGCTAGTTTTAGTTTTACAAGGGACAACTTTATTCATAGCCAGTTGCATGTTGATCTTAAACAAGCCCTTGATGCCTAATGGCCCCAATAGAATTTAAGGAAAAAAAAAAGATAATTTAATTTTTTCCGGTGCAAGACTATTCATTCTGTTTAAATGTTTACAGAACAACGAAAAGAGAAAGGGTTAAAAGAGGGAAAACATTCAACACGTCAAGTTCAGTCAAAGCCTTTATTCCTTCCTTATCTTCTCTTTTTCTTTGTTTTTTTGGTTGTTTCCTTGCATGATTGAAAATGAAAAGCTCATAATTCAGAGAAAAGGCAAGACTTCACTGCAAGTTCAAGGATGTTTGGTGAGACAAACTTTATATGCAAGTGATAGAGTGGAAGACCAATGGTCAAACTCAAGTCCATGTCCTCAATTTCTTATGGTCACTTTCTTCCCCTCAGCATGTGGCATGTGGAATTCAGAAGATTTTTATTGGGGGGAAAAAAGGAAATTAAAGTTGTGAAATAATTCCAACTTTGTCATGTTTCCTTTTCATTGATTCGTAGTGTGATGGGAAAAAATTGTTACAAAAGAAGCGTAAAGGGTACCAACAACTTGGCAATTTGGAAAACTTGCCCACCTCAAACAACCTACGTAATGCCATTATATATAATCATATGGATTGTCTAATACGGTCTCCAGTCCAAAAGATTGAGTCAGGATTTTGAAACAGAGTCAGGCTTGGCAGGTTACCTATTTTAATTTTGTAGGACTCGAGCTTAAAAATAAAAAAAAAAATTTTAGTACAACCATACTTCCAGGCCTAGCTCTTTTAAGTCATGTAAAAATAGATTCAAATTGGGGCTTGGACGGCCTGTTTTCATAAAAACTAATATTTTAATTTTAATTTTAATTTATGCTTTAGAATATAATTTTATATTTTAAAATAATAATTTATATTTTTTAAATTTTTAAACATTGCAATTTGTATTCTAAAAAAAGAATACTCTTTTGATTTTATTTATAAAACACTTCTAACATGCCTTACCAAAATTAAGGAAAACTTAAAATTCATTAATTTTGTCTAGAAATGTAATAATTTTTTAACTTTATTTCTATTAAATATATATACTTTAATAACATTTTTTTTTTAACATTTAATGGAGGTTAAATGAAAAAATTTATGATAAAAATTTAATAAAGTAATTTTAAATGTGACTAAAAAATTTTCTCCCTCTATCCTATAAATAGGACTAGAGGGAGTATAAAATGTTATAGAGCAAAAATTATTTTTTTAAAAAAATAATAATAATAAAAGTAGGCTTACGATCCAACCTTGTATCCATTGAATAAGAGCTGAGTTTTAGATATATATATATATATATATATATTTTGATAACTGGACTTATGGGCATGAACCCTATGAATACCCCGCCCATTTCCACTTTACCAAAATATAAATACTTTTAACTACCTTCATATATATATATATATATATTTATGATGTGTTTGGATTAATAGGAATTTGAATTTATTTAGACCAAATTCTTCATTTGGATATATAAAAATATATGAATTTAAATTTGATTCAAATTCAAATCCATTTCAAATTATAATTCCTTTGTAAACTCAAACATTTGGTTTCATTGGCAGTTTTACTAGTGATACATCTATAATTCTTGTTTCTTTTCTCATCTCTTATAAATTTAAAAATAAACATGAACTAATCTTTCTCAATTTTTCATTCTCATTTATAATCTCAACTAATCTCCCTTTCTATCTGAAAATTTTTTAAACTACTCGAACAAATGATTTTAAATATATGAACTTGGAATATGAGATTTTAAATGCAAAATTTAAAATTTAAAATTTAAATTTAAATCTATTAATTCAGACTGTCACGGCCTTGGAGAATATCCTAAAATATTCTAGACATCTCCACATCCCTCTCTAAGTTCCTAGAACTTTCTAGAAACTTCTAAATTTTTTTAAATTATTTTAGATTGTTCTAGATACTTCTAGAATATTCTAGAACATATTATATTCTTCTTGAACGTTCTAAATTCTCCTGAAAATCTCTGCATTATTCTGGATGTCTCCAAAAGTACTGTAATTCTATGTTTCTTCTCTTTCTGAATAGAAGTTGTGATAAGACGTACCTTACTTTATTTATTATATAATGTTTTTCTACAACACAATTAATAAAGACATTTATGTAAAGAAAGAAATTAATGCCACTTTTTGTAAAGCACCTGCATTTTAGACCAACATTGGTCGATGGAAAATGTCTATATTTTGGACGAGATGGTAGGGTATTATTTGACCTATCTGGAGGCAATTCTCCCAACATGTTCTTTTTTCATTTATAAGATCTGAACCATCAACTTCAATTAAGGGAAATTACGTCTCTTTCGTCGGATCTAATTTACATATTTTCTTGAAAAATAAATGTATTTTATGGGATTAACATAAATTTTTAAGAAAAAAAATTCTATATTGATATTAACATAATAGATATAGTTAATCATAGGAAAAATTATATATAGACCCCATGGAATTGACTTATTTATAAATAAGTTTTGTAAAATTCAGAAATCACAACTAAGTCTCTTGAAACCTCAGTGTAATTTGAAGTTTTGATAAAAAGACAATCATATCCCTATTAAATATATATATATATATATATTACATCATTCAAATAATTTATAACTATATTAT